AAAAGGAAGAAATTATTCACAGAACAGGGAAAGGCCTAAGGAGCTACTGATCTGCAATCTCTCTCCTGCAAATTATGGGAAAGTAACCCATTTTTTGGTTTTTATTTTTGTTTCTTATGTAATAGCTCATCTTCAAAAGGATTTAGAACAGATTTCCCTAGAGTGACTAAGCCAGTTTCAAAAACCTGGGAAAAAAAAAATCTGACTGGGAAGACTGTTTCTTCTCTCTGTACCCAACTCAACAGATAAAAATATGGCTGTGCCTTATTCAATACAGGCCATCAAAGTTACCATCTCACCTTGGAAGGAACCCAGTATACAAATTCTGGTTTGTTTTCCAATTATCCTAAGCAATATCTTTAAAAAAAAAAAGTAAAGGATTGGGGGTGGGGTTTTTTTATTATTTTTATTTTGTTTTGTTTTATTTGGATGGGGTTTTTTCATAATAGAAAAGAGGAAACAGAACTGCAGAGGGGGTTCCTATTCTGCTGCCCTCAAAGAAAAGGAAGCAGCACAAGCACAAATCTCCTGCCTGGAAGAATGAATCAGCCATCTGGCAGCTTGAATGTATTCTGATCTTCTCTAGTGGTGAACCTCTGGCCATTAATTCAAACATGGAATTGGTATCTGACCTCTCCTTGCTGAATTTCCTAACTGTGTGACTGATCACGAAGCTCTCTTTGGATCAAGCATAGTAAAAGGGCCTGTTGTAATGTCTTTGTTAAATCCTCTCTGAATTGGGCTCAATATCAGAAATGGTGGGCTTTGAAGCTCTAAAGAGTAACTTCTATGAAAAAGTTGACATAGTCCTGTAGAGTGCTTTCTCCCAGTTTTCCACAGAACTTCTTTTCTATCAGATATAAATCCTTTCTAGGCAGGTCAGAATTTTAAATATCTCTATTTCCTTATCATGCTTTGATAGCACTTATTTTTCTTTTACATTTTTCATTGTATTGGAAAGGATGCTAGAGTGCTAAAACTATACAGAAACTTCAGGATGTTCTTTGTTTTTTTTGCAAAGTCTGAACAGATGGTAGAAGCCCATTCTGGAATTGTTAGCTTAGAAAAAAGTGGTGTGCTCATAGAGGAACTGCTTTTCCTCTCCCGTTCCCTGTTGTAGCAACTGGAAGGCTCGGTCCCAGAAGCATGATCAGTTCTCGGGGAAACTGCAGCAGTTAGGCTCTTCAGAGACTTGGTTTGGTCCTCCATCAGAGAGCCATTTTGGTGCCCCTTAAGGTGAGGAATCCTCCCAGGGCACAGCTGACTTAAGAAACTCCTGTTTTCTGATCAGTGGAGCAGAACAGAAACATTCCTGGCCTCACAAGACCGCAGAACACCTTCAGTTGTGCTGACTGCATTGCTCCTGGACTCTAAACAGAGTCTGAGAAATTATCCAGTTTAGAGGGGGGAAGTTAAACCAGTCCCTTAGAAAACAAATGTCCCTCCTCCCTCCTCTGATGAGGCAACAGTTTGGCTAAGACAGCAGCCGGGCAAACAGCTGAATGAAACAACTGGGAGGGAGGAAATGAACCAGAGAGTGCAAAATCCTCTTAGGCAGGCGCCATGAGCAGGGGGCTGTAATATGCCCATGCACCTGGAGTCTGGTCTCCGGTGTTTCCATTTGTGCCACAAGTTTAAAAATGCAAATTCTGTCATGTGAGTCAGGACACTCAGAAGTGTTACAGATCTGGGCTTCCAAGGCCTGAGTCAGCTTCGGAAATGGGCTGAACTCTCTGCCATGGTACTGTCAGCACTTGCACGCTAATTCCTTCAAAAACACACCTTAAAAGCTATGTCAGGTTTTCTTCTGTTAAACACATTTGCCTGGAAACTCTCAGCTGTGAGCTCAAGTGTGAAGTACAGTGATTTTGGAACAGACCAAATATGTGACGCACGTGCTGTGCATGGATTTCACGCACAGCTGACTGGAGCTGCCTGCCAGTGCTCCTGCCAGTGCCCGCAGTCAACTGCTCTAGTCTTGCAAAGTTTTGGATTGAAGTTGTAATATGAGTTGGCCCTCTTGTATCTGAGGCAGGAGACACATTACTGGAATTCTGTGCGCAGGCAAAATGTTGTAGTTTATTTTCATGGAAAAGTTGTCTATCTGGCAGCTGTCAGAAGCTGACTTTGTAGGAGGAAGGCACAAATGGATCCAGTTGCTTTCCATCTATTTCTAAGTGTCATTTTATAACTGTATATGTCATGTTTAAAGCTTACTTGAGGTTTGGTGTGTTTGGTGGCTTTTTTTTTATTCACAATTCTTCTATACTTTCCAGACAGACATTATCAGATAGACATTAAAGATCATCATAAGCACCTGTAGCTGTAACTGAAACCAAGAACATAGTTGTATGACTAGGCATTCAGGATACTATTTTAAAGTGTTCTCTATAAGGGAACCTTTCTGCTTCTTTTCTTTTTTTTTTTTTAATTTTTCTCCCTCACAACCTTGACAGGAGGGACAAAAACATTCTGAAAAGCTATATATTATAATTCATTTTTGTAGGCTTATCTCACGGACCAACTGACACATTGTATCTAAATTCAGAGGTAACATCAACTTATATTATTCTGGGTTTTTTTTAAATTTTAAATACTCCTTATCTGATCACAGTTGACACTGAAAGCGTTATTTGCTCTGAGGATGCCTCATCTTAGTTTTGGAAAGACTGGAACCGGTGGATACTCTTCTCTGAGTATCCTGCCTTTGTTAGGCAGGTGAGCAGAGTAACTCGGCTCAGTGCGTGCTTGGTTATGCTAAGGCTCTCCCCAAAATTAAAAGCAGATAAACACAAGAGGGTGATTAGAGACTAATTACCAGGACAAAACTATTATTGTGCTGACTGATCTAAATATAAGCTTACGTGCAACTATTCAGCATGAGTAATGTGCTTAGCATTACACAATACAGTGAAAAAAAGTGTGTCACAAACTGTATATCTGGTTACTTAAAGAATTCTGTGCTGCTTATATGGACTGTTTCAGGTTCCTAGGAATCTTCATGCACGGAAAAGAAGGAATCGCAGTCAGAGCCCAAGAGCAAATGCTCATTTAAAAACCGGGAACACACTTGGCGACGGGCAAAGAAAGAACACGTTTCAGGAGACACACAGGCTGCCCCCGGTGCCGGCAGACACCGCTGTGTGTCCTGCAGCTCCCGAGATAAGGACCCTGTATCCCCGTGGGCAACCCCGCATTTATCTCCCGAGCCACGGGCTCCATCGCACACGGCCGTGCTTCCTGGGGGGAAGCCGCGGGGCCGGCGCAGCGCGGACCGCTGTGCTCCGCAGGGAGCGAGGGGCCGATGGATCCCTTTGGAGCGGCCCAACTTCGCCTCGGCCCCGCAATTATTTCCAATCACTCCAGTGCAGCGAGCGCCGCGGGCCTGCGTGCGTCCGGGCGCGTCCCGCCGGCTCCCCCCGCGTCCCAGCGCTCGCTCCTTTTTAGGACGTGCGGTGTTTGGGTCCCGATCCCAATCCAATCCAATCCCACCCCGATCCCGGTCCCGCTGGCGATCCCGCCCCGGAGCGGCCGCGACTCCCGCCCCGCGCGCGGCCCCGCGCATGCGCCGCACCTTGTTTACCCGGCTCTGCGCGGTGGCGCCGCGCGCGGCCGGCAGGTGTCGCCCCAGGCCCAGGAGAGCGGGCCACGGCGCGCGGCCGCCAGGTGGCGCCTGCGCCCTCCATTCGCCCGCGAGCCGCCGAGCAGCGAACACCCCAAACAATCCCCAGCGCCGCCGCCAAATTAAATAACCCCAACCCGCCCGCGCCCCGCGGCCCCTCCGCGCCCACAGCCCGCCACTGGCCGGCACGGGCGCGCAGCCGGGCGAGCCGCGCCGGGCACACGGGAGCGGAGCCGCGAGCCGGGGCCTTCCTCGCTGCCTACGCCGACACTGGGCAAGGTAAGTTAGAAAATGGCGGCGAAGCTTCTGGAAGTTTGGCGGGGGCACTCGGGATCGCGGTGCGCGGCGGCGGGGAGAGGCCGGGCCGGGCCCCGCGGCGCCCGGGCCCGTGCGGGGCGCCAGGCCGGCTGGCCGCGGGGACTGCGCGCAGCCAAGATGGAGGACGGCGGGGCCGAGCCGCGAAAACACTCCAGCCCCCCGCTTCCCCACCCCCCGTTCCCGGCGCGCCGCGGCGGGGAGGGGGGAGGCGAGCGGAGCGCGGCCGGGAGAGCGAGAGGGCGCCGAAAGCGGCCCCCCCTGCCCGCCCCGGGCCCCCTTCCTGCTCCCCAGAGCCGGCCGCGGGCAGGCCGGGCCCGGCGCTCGGCGAGCTAAAATGGAGAACCGCCTTCTCCTCCTCCTCCTCCCCCTTCTGCCGAGCCGAGCAGGGGCTGCCGGCAAGATGGAGGACTCGGGCATTGTGTGCGTGGGGTGTGTGTGTGGGAGAGCCGAGCCGGGCCGGGCCGACCGGGGGGGCAGCGAGGGGACGGGGGTCGGGGCGGCCGCGCTCGGGGGAGAGCGCTGGGCCGCGCTCAGAAAATGGTGGGGCGGCTGCCGCTGCCCCGGGGGCGAGTGCCGGGGGAGGCCGCGGAGAGGGGGCTCGCACCCCTGACAGCGCTCGCCCGGCTCCCTTCGCCCGGCTCCCCGCTGCCCAGCACTCGAGTTCTTCCTGCCAGCCCTCTCCCGCCGGCTTCCCCGCGTAGGGAAGTGCCTAGGGATGGGGGTTTCTCTGTTCCGTCTCTCTCCCCCGAGCTGGGGCAACTCCGGCCGCCCTTCCCCATGCTTGGGCTGGCGGGACCGGGGCTCCCTCGGCCCGAGTGAGGACGTGGGGACTGACCTGCCTTCCCCCCCCCCCCCCCCCTCGCTGCCCCCCCCCCCCCCTCCCGCCCCGGCGCCCAACTCGGGGAAGGCCTTTGTGGGGCGAGTTTTCCCCTCCGAGTGACTTTGGCCGAGCTCCTCGGCGGCTGCCCGCGAAGAGGAAGAGTTGTGGCAGTTTCCGTTCGGCTTCCTTTATTTTTTTTTTTTTTTGTAAAGAAAGGGCGCTTGCCAACTTGTGCCGGGGACGCCCGATGCCGGGAGCCGCGTGTTGCTGGAACCCCGCTGGGCTCTCGCCGGCCCCGGAGGGGGAGGGGGGGGAGGAGGAGGAGGAGGAAGGAGAGAGAGAATGCTTCTTACTGGGGGGTTTTGGCGCCACTTTTGTTTTAGATAGTGTTCCTCTGCCCCCTCCTCCTCGGCACGCACTGAACTGAGCTGAACCCTGCCCAGGTAGGAGGCGAGAGCTTTCCTGGTGTTTTTCTTTTCTGGGCGCTTATTTTCTCTACATGGATTAAAAATAGATATATAGTTGTTTCTGCGGCTAGGGACGGAGGGACAGGGGAGCGAGCGGCCGCAGATGCCTGGGCTGGGAGGCCTTGTTTTTCGGGAATTTCTCTCCCTGCCCCGGCGCATCCCTGGCGCTGGGCGTGCTGGCTTTGGGGGCCCGCACCGCTCTGCCTCCATGCCTTCCTCTGTCCTGGTAGCGTTGTATAATCCGTCTGTCCCGTGGAAATCCGGGACCTACCGACCTCATTTTTTATTATTTTTTATTCCTCCCCCCGGAGAGCGGGCGCGGAGGCGCTCGGGCCCCTCTTTCGCTGCTTTTATTTATTTATTGTACTGCCCCGGCTCGGCTCTCCTTGCTGTTATCCTCCCACAGGATGCGGCGTTCGGAGCTAATACAAAGTTTCCCTCACCGGCGAGTCCGGTGCTCTGGTTACTGGGGTGGTGGTGGTGGTTTTTTTTGGTTGGGTTTTGGTGTCTTTTTTTTTTTTTAATTACTTTTTGGCAGCCCCTTCCCGTGCGCTCCCCGGGGCCACACCCCGGCGTGTCCGGTCTCCCGAGGCGCCTCACCCGGCGGGGTGACCCCGCGTTTTGCCCGTGCCCGCGGGGCCGCCGCCCGGGCGGGCGCGGCGGGGCCGGGGCGGGCGGGCGGCTGCCGAAGTGCGTCACGGCGGCCCCGCCGGGCCTGCTC